ATGGGTTCGTCAGCAGCGGGGTGAGAGCATATGGGGACACTTTGGATAGGACTCACTTCCTCTCGCTGTAGATGGCTCCATCCGAATTATTCACAGCAGTCTCCTTGCAGTCATGGGAGAGAAACGAGTGATTTCTTGGCACAGCACATCGCACACCAAATATTGAAATAGCTCAGGTGAACTGCACCCAAAAGCCGTTTCTCTCCTTTGGTAGAAGAGAGTCTAAGGAGACTAGCTCAGAGGCTGACATCTACATTACCAACACTTGTGTTAGGTAAGATGAACCCTACCAGAGGTATCTGCCTCCTCACCTTGTTGGGGCAGAAAAAATTCCTCTTGCTCTTCAGGTAGTTTGATAAATTCCCATATTTGCAGTATTCAACAATCACCATCAGAGGCCCTGGGCAAAAGGAAAGTGCATTTTGAGCAGCATAAAGCAATTCAAGGGGTCATCAGTTCTGAGAAAAAGAATAGTCTTTCATGCCCAGAGCTTTACCTTGAGTCCAGAATGACTAACGGTATGTCCTAATGAAGTAGAAGGCTGCTTGAAGGACACTGTACATGTTAGCAAAAGAACACTGTTTCTGGAAATTAGGGAAGGGCCTAATTTTTGAAAGCTGGGTCATGAACCTGGGTCCTGAGGGACCCTCCGCTTCCTCTTCGAGCAGTCTGTGTTCAGACTGGAGTCCCGCAGCCCACACACACTTGTTGAACTAAAATAGGTGACATATCTAAAACAAACGATCGCTCATACTGGCCTTTGGATTAAATATCATGAAGAATTTTACAATGGTTGCCTTATGATTCATTGTTCAGGGCCAGGAGCCAATATCCCTTTTTCCCAGCCTTTCTAGATCGTGTTTAACATGAGCTTGAGCAGTGAAGTGGGTGAGATAAAGGACAACAAGTGGCATGGTCCTAAATTCACACTTCTCATGTAACTACTGAAAGAGAGTTTAAATAGAGAAAATGTTTAATCATTTCATTAAATGACTAAAAATCTCTTTTTCTTTTCCTCTTTTTTTTCACCAACCACAGGACAAGCTCAAATATTTCAAGTTAATAACTTGACCTCTGGATGAAAACCAACATGGCCAACTGACTGTTGCTGGGAGATGATCCAAACCCATGATCAGTGCAGTGCAGATTTTTTTACCTCCATTTTTTGTGCAAGCTCCCAACAAATTCACAATATTGAGATGATGACCAATGTGGATAAGGATTTTCAGCTCAGTCATCAGTGCTTTGTACTCGCTTGCTGTGGCCCCTTCTGTAAAGGCAAAATAAAGTCAATGTAAAGAACTGGTCCTGCTGAGCTTTACTCCTTCTTGTCACTTTCCATTGAAATAACCTCCATTACTGGATGTACTTCATATGTTGATGTTCTTTTTCTATTCCTCCCTGCTCAGCATCCTCTTACTTGCAATAAAACCTATAAAAAGTTAGGCACTCAACTTCCTCCCAGTAGACTGTTATATTTAGAACTGAGAGACATTTTTTTCACATGAATAGTTTTGTCATTTCAGCCAAAAAAAAATGAAAGAAAAAATAAAAAGGGATTTCAAGACTATAATTAACTCTATCTAGAGTAGGTTTCAGTTGGCCTGATTTCAGCCCTCTAAGGGTTATGTACTAGCCTGAACGAAACCAATGTCTCAGGGAGTCAGTGGCAAGAGCAAAGCATTTCCAGAGGCTGATGAAGCCACCAGCTTCAGCCATCTGTATAGGGAAAAGATGAACCACACCTTGGTGATTCTTGTCTGGTTCTGTTTATTATAGAGGAAACCTGGAGTATTAAGATAGACCAGAGAAGTAAACTTCAGTGGTTGAAGTTAGGTGACTGCATCTCACCCTTATTTGTTATGATCAATATTAATAATCATAGTAATAGTAATGATATAAGAAATTCCACAACTAAACCCCAAAGATTCTATTTAGTGTTCAGTGAAACTTTTAATTCCCTCTGAACAATTTTTTCCTGCAGAATTTTGTTTTGGCAAGAAAACAAGAAAAATCATATTGAGTTGTGTAGACTCAAAAAGACTTTTTCAGTTTAGTGACACCAAGAATAAGAATAGTCCAGTAGAAATGGACTAGGTCTTAAAGGGCTTGGTTTCAACATCTGAATGGAAACAGATTTTCTTGGTGCCCCCCCCCAAAACTCATCATCTACCCAGTGACCCACTATTCATCTGTATAGGTGGTGACACTTTCTCTCCACCTCATGGGAATTCTGCGAGGACAAAGCCCACGAACGACTGCAGAGTTCCTGGATAATCTAGTGAGGACACAAGGAATGGGACAGATCTCCCCTAGCTTTAGGTGCCCATAGTGAAGATGCCTACAGAGGATCTAGTCACCACAGGCTCTCTTCATAGACAGCAGAGCTAACCAAGCACTCAGCTCACCATATGCAGGTATCCGCCTTAGGATGGGATGAAGTGTTGTTTCTCACCACTGACGATAAAGGGAATTTGAGTGACTAACTCAGATACAAGCATTACCCTGCACACGCATACATGAATCCCACCATGAAGAATTCTTTTTGCTGTTGTCTGCTCCCACCTATTCCAGGAGCAACTCCTGCTGCCTTGATGGTGCTGGCTGGCACAAGAAGCCTGCTGATGTACATAAAGAAACGTGGAATCTGGCAGACCACTCTGCCAGCACATATGTCTGCATGTTGGCAGAACAGCTCAGTTAACTAGGGGTCAGGCAGTGACCCAGGTGACAGGCCATCCACTGAAACCAGTGACACAGATGGCTGTTGGCCCACTGCTGAGAAGGTCTGGACAGAGACCAAAGCTTTAGTTTCCTCCCATTTTCCAGACATGCTTGCTGCACGGTATTTGTTAATTTGGCAGTGGCCAACAGGGTATTCCTGTGCTTCTGCAACAACAGAAGGCAGAAAGGTTTGCAACCCCCTCAGCTGCAAACTCCCTCCTTGGGGATGATCCTGGATACCGCAGTACCATGTACCAGCCCTGCTAAAGCATTTGACATTATATTGCAGAACAACATCCAGAGGGCACACAGCTGCCATGTGATTGTCAGCAATAAATAGTCTCCTGCTGAAGCTATTTCAGGTTGAATGTTGCAGGGAGGGACTGTAGGCCTGAGACTATTGTATGTGCCCCTCCAAGGGCTGGAAGTAACATGTACAGGTCTCCTGATGACTGATAAGCAAGCAAGCAGCTGTGAAGCTAGGAGCCACTGGGTAAGAGGGATGTATTCAAACTACCCTGAACAGAGCCAACTGAGAGCATCAGGGATCCAAGCCTGACTGGCGGAACAGGGGATGTGTCCTGGCAGAGAATGACACTGAAAAGGATTCAAGGATTAAGACAGATAAGCGATGCAGTATAAGCTCCCAGGGCAATGCAAAAAAAGCCTGATATGATCCTTAGATATATAAATGAGGTGAAGCTAAATACGTAGGAAGGGATGCCACCAGGACTCTGGGTTAGGGAATCCAGCCCCGGCTGCTGCAGACTCTGACTGAACGTCATCCTGCCTGCTAACTTCCCAAGCGCCCTCTTCAAATCAGTGAGGGTCTTCGTCCTTTCTGCTCCAATGAGAAAAGTGGCAGTGAATAGCTGGGAGATGATTTCACTTTGGGAAGAGCGCTGGTGTATGAAGAGCGACTGGCAAATCCGTTACACAGCCTGGGGGTCAGCATCCTAAGCACCGTGCGATGAGGCTGCAGACGGTTCAGAGAGGATGCACCTGTACAACCACTCCAAGCTCAATCTATTTAGCTTGATAAAAGGGCCTTCATGAAGAAAAATCATTATGTAATCTGATGGAGAAGGTTAGAACGAGAAGTGAAAGTCAGACAGATGCAAATTAGACATAAGGCGCTGTTTTTAACAATGAGATGATTAATCATTGGAACTAATGACAAAGGAAAATACAAAAGCTTCCATCTGAGTGTCTTCATATCAAGGTGGATGCCTTATGCTTCAGCTAAATTTCATTTAGGGTGTTCAGTAGGGGGTCAGTCTAGCGTAACGGTGCAATGTAGGGTGTGCAGGAAACCTAATTGCCCCTCCTGATCCTACAAAAGTGACTCTTCATTCTTTCTGGCATTTGAAGTAATGGAACAAGATTTAAAAAAAAAAAAAAAAAAGGCAATCAGGTTCTCACTGCATCTGAAACTTTCCCCTATATCATGTGATAATTTATCACCCTTTTTACCATGAACGCAATTTTTATTTCATAGTTCTGCCATTTCACTTGTGGTGGACCTGAAACTTGGTGTACACATTTTGGAGGCTTCAGAGAATTATTGGTGGGGGGATAACATCACACACTCTTGTTTTCAACACAATCATATTAAACATGGGACATGATGTAAGGCATCATTTTTTCCAGCCCAGCTTTGCAGCAAGATACCTTTCAGCATTTTCACAGCAACTATTCTGCATGTTGGCGATTTCTTAATTCCAAAAGCAGACGCTTGTACCACCTTTCCAAAAGCTCCATGTCCAAGAGACTTTCCTGTAAAGAAAATAAATTGGAGAGAGACATTCTAGTAAACAAGAAATCTTGTCAGCAAATGGCTTCATAGATAATGAATTGACAGATGTGCTTTACGACGAGTTCCATGCGTATATTTCCAACATATAAATGATTTGAGGGTTTTGTGTGGATTTTTGTGGGTTTTTTTTAAGAGTAAGCAGACAAACCAGAAGTCAGAGTCATAAGAGGGAATAAGTGATATGATTGAAAATGATGCTAAATGAATGCAGCTCTTCAGTGGAGGTACACTGGCTCCTGACCCAATTATTTTTTCAGTCTAGCTCTGCCAGAGAAAAATTTGCTTCTCTTTTCCCTGAGCACACTGCACCATGCACCGGGCTGTGACACCGCTACTCATGTCCTCAGCAACACAGGGCCCCTGCCTAAACTCGCACGCACCCTAAGATGCAGGTTACTGCAGACTTTGGTCATTTTTACAAATTAAATTCTTCCTTCTTGAACAAGCTGCCTTAAATTATCGTCATTCCAGGGAGGTGGCAGCAACTTTGTTTCACAACCCCTGGAGTACACGCACAGCCCCCGATGCTCTTCCCTAGCAAGCCTTTGTTGGTTGAGATCACGGAGTGATGAGAAGCTGCAAATCTGTGCAAATGAGACTTTTGTGTTTGCAAAATGAGGCCTGGGGGGATTCAGCAATAGGGGACTTGGAGTGACAAGTTTGCTTAAGGTGGGTATGATGCTTCCAGATGTGCAGGGGCAGACATTTGTGCTGTGATATCATCATCATGCTGCCACTGAGCAGACTGCAGGAGAAGCACCCAGAGGTCCTTGAGAGAAATCAGTGGGCATCAATAAAATTCTCCAGCAGCAGAAGCCGAGTGTCCTCTTCCTTCATGTTCAGAACCAGGTAAGACTCCAAGTGTACTGTTACAACTTTTCTAGAGTTCATGACATTTTATGCCAATTGTGTGATCTTCACAGCCTCCTTTGTGATTTATTACTGTTTGAAGCAGGGAGCATTGACTATCTCTTCGACACTGTGCTCACGTGGACAGACCTGGCCGCCTCTGCCCTTCTCAAGTGACTGGCAGAGTTTTGATCACAGAGATCTTGTCAGCATATCAGCTAGCAATAAATTTTATTTTCAGATTGTGTTTGTGCTTCACCTTCAGCAGAACCCAGGCACCTAAGTGGCTAGCAAGATTATAGCAGCAGGCTTCGCAGTGTAGAGGAGAAGAGCAGAAAATAAAGGCCAACTTTTCGTACAAAAGCAAAGGATAACATGTGCCATGTATTTATTCTTCAGATATACACGTGACACAGCCCTCTCCATAGGACAATTTCTTTTTTCTATGATGGGCATCTGTTTGACTAGCTATCACTTGAATATCTACCTTGTTGATGTCTAAAGCTGAGAGATGAATCCCACTCAGACGCTCACAGGCAAAGAGCTGCTGTCAATTCTAAATTAAATTAAATAGATACTACCTTTTATACGTGTATCACATTTCTAAACTGTAATTCTCAGTATGTCTGCCAGTAGAAGCAAACAGCATATGTTATCAAAGCAATGGAAACATGAAGTGGAATATGCTAAGCCAAAAAAACCCCAAACCCCAGAAATTTATTTCCCCCCTAGATGTGCAAAAGTGTTGCATTTTTTACAGCAAATAAAAACCATGAAGAACTTAATCTACATGGCTGAAAAGCATCAAGCCTTGGTATGTGAAGGGCTTAGAGTTTGACACACACATACAGGTGAATCAGTGTATATCTCTGAAAATCTACAGTGACCTTCAGTTACTGCATATAGCAGAGGCATAAGGGAAGGAACATTAACAAGAAGGTCTTAGTTTCATTGGTAAATTGATGTTCTTAATCCTTAATGTATTGACTGTTCATGGTTTCTACAAGATGAAGTTGCAGTCTGAGGTCCTGTAAAACCCATTGTACCTTTGTTTAATCCATAGCTTTAATCTGTTTCCATCACTCTTAACTCACTTCCCACATTGAGATAACCTAGTCACTTGGAAAACATACCAGTTAGTTCATAAAGCTAGGCAAAGCTGCTAACCTTTCATAAAGGAGAATGAGCACTGGAATCAACACTTCCCTCTCTAAACAACAACTGTGATTTAATGGGAAACTGTAATAACACTTGATGTATGAGTCTTTGTTGCTCCGCTATTGTTTGTACTGTGCTAAATGTTAGCGCAGAACACGACTGCTTTAACTTTTCAGCGCATAGATCGAACTCCACAGGTTAGTATGTAGATTGTGTCTATGACTGTAACAGATTGCTTTGGCAAAAACCCCTTATGTTGACACACAAAGTTATTACAAAATTATTAAAGGGAGTAATTAAACAGAGGAATATTAAGATGCCCAACCATCTGAGCAGTGAACTTGTCACAGCCCTCAAGCAGCTATGCTGGCCATGTTTGGGGTGTATCTCTCACGTATGAAATGTTGCAGCATTTACATCCAGACCAAGGAAGCAAAATGCTCTACTTAAATCTTCTGCACTTGACTTTGGTCATAGCCCTCAGTCAAGGAGTTTTGGATCAGGAGGTTTCCATTTCAGTCTCATTTTAGCAGGGTCCTTCAAGCGTGTGTGTTGCTGGACTGAGGCATCAGCAAAAAGCACTTGCAGACACTGCTTTCTATATCTGTGGGAAGGCAACGGCTCAAAGGTGTGTTCGTTTCTCAGGTCCTTTGCTGCAGTTTGAGTCATCTGGGTTTTCCCCACATGTGGCTTCATATTTTCCATTACGTTTCGTACGACAGCTCTGCACGTGAAGGAGAACGGAAAGCGCTTTGTTGGGCGCCAGCGCTGTGGGCTTGCCGTGCGCAGGAGGGAGCAGGGCTCGGGAAGCCGTCTACCACCGGCGTGTTTGACATCGCGCCAGAGCCATGTGGCAACGCTCCCTCGGGGGTGGGGGGGTCCTGCACCACAGCGTCAGCAGTGTGTGACCTCCCATAGACTAGGAAGGTCAAGCCCAAGAGTAAGGTGAGAAATGCATGATAGCTCAGCTAACACGCCGGACTGCAGTGTTATCGCTGACCACACTGACAGTGATTTATAGCACCAGCATTTTTCTGCCTAATGAAAAGATGACATTTTGCTCTCAGTCAGACTAATCGATACTGAATGTTAATTATCCTGACTTCAGTGGTGCCTGTGTGAAATTGCCTGTAACATCTGTAGCTCTTACAGATGAAGGGGGGAGTCCTGTTATATAAGCATTGCATCACAGCCGTGGGCTGTACGTACGTGCGTTGGAGGAACACATAGCAAAGGAGATGTGGGCTGAAAGGAGAGACTTATTTGCAAAAGTTACAATAAATTTGTATCCTGGAGGATAAGTAGGTGGAAAGAGAAAAACAGACGTATCTGATGCTGAAAGGAGCTGAATTTCTAAGTAAAAATATTTTTTAAAAAAACGTAGAAGCACATTTTGTATTTGTGAGACACTAATCCTCAGAGACTGCCAAGGTTACTCAAAGACTGAGCCAACTGCCATGTAAGCAGGACTTGCACTGAGCTAATCTAGCATACTGCACATACCCAACTTCTCCGAATCTGGTTCTCATTCATTGTCAGCATTCTTTATTTGTTTACACCAGTTCTTCCACTTTTAACTCATTCTCTGGTCATCATTCCTCACCTCCAGACTCCAGACACCAACCCTGTAAGACGTGGATTTTTCCTTGGTGTTTACATTCCATTTCTGCTTGATCCTTTCTGTGGGATTTATCACAAATAAAGCATCACATAAACCAGCGATCACGTTGTCTGCACATTGGGCTCTTGGTCCATCATTGTAAGAAAACTATTTGAAGATTGAAGACACTCCAGCACAAGGTTATGTTTCAGCATTCCCAGAATTGTGTATGATAATTATAAATCTCTAGCAATATATTTCAGCTGTGCTTATCCACATCTGGTCACCTTGTGACTTCTAGCAGGCGAATTAAGTATGGTCCTAATTGTGCGCATGTTTTAATCACCCTCTGTCCCTGATCCCCAGAGGACAGAAGGAATCTGTTACAGCTCCTAGCTAAAATGCGGGGATTTTCTAGACCTTGCTGTAAGACAAATCTAATGCATGCCTGAAAGAACAAACAGCACTATAGCAATAGGCTGAGTTGATATTGTAATATTGACCCTCTTGCTAAAATCTGTGACGGATTCCTCAATTTCAAAATCTAGTTCCTACCCTCTTGTCCCCCGTGTCAGCTCCACAGTAGGTTAAGCAAGTAAAGCATGCTCCCAAATGTAGGCGAGCTAGCTGCAGGTTCAAAGTTTCTGTGGATATGCATTTTCTTATGCACAGACTTGTGTCACATTCTTGCACTTCATGGTGCACCAACAAGAATGTTTATAAATCTGCAGCACAGAGGAAAAATACGGAGAGTGTGCTGGAGTGAAAAGGAAAGGGAGAAGCAGGGAGGGGTACAGGGTGGACTGTGAGGACCCATTTCGGCATAGGTTTTTTGCCAGATGATCACATAACCAGATTACAGGGGAAGAAAATTACAGTAAATGCCAAAGGTCAGGCTCCTGAGTCCAGAGAGAGAAGCAGCCAAGTCAGTGGTCTGATCTGGAAGCTTTCAGTTGCGCTGTTTTTATGTCATGCTTTAAGTAAATCAGTCTGCAGAAAAGAGAGGGCAGCATTCTTTTCTGTACTTTAGTTTTCCTACCTGAAGTCAAAATACACATATGGAAAGTCAGACAGACACAGTCAGCCAGTTCTAAATGCTGTCAGTCAGTCATAGACCAGGACACTCCGTATGGCATAGCTCATACCGAACCTGGCACTACGTTGTGCCGTGCGTCTAAAACACACCCAGCTCCTCTTTACCTGTACAAGTACATTTCATTCAATCACTGCAAACCCAACACAAAGTGTGCCGGTATTACCTAGTTTAAGCCTTTCCCTTGCAATCTCCCACTTGCTGGCATCATAAGGCAGACGTTCACATTGCTCATCTAAGGGGACTTCGTCAGGATCCATTATGATTGACAGGTAATGGTTGGTCTTCATTTCAGAGGAATAAGGCTAGAAAACAAAGAATATGGCAAAATGTAAAAGAGGGTAACAATATCTGTCAACATCTTCCTGTTTGGATCAAGGGTTTCAAGTTAATTCTGTCCACAGGGCTGCTTGTATCACAGTCCAAGGGATGGTTTGTTTAAGATCTCTTTGGCTTTTTAAATATTGCAAGACTTTTTCTGTAAAAGAAACTGTCCTCTAGCTTTCCTCATCTGCGACATACCGGTTTCTTCAATGAAATCCATATGGATCTGTATTAACATATGGCCTTCTGCACAGTCAAGAGAAATATTTTCAGCAAATGACTAAACATTGCTGATAAAAATAACTTTCCTTCATGATTGTGGAAAGCAAGAAGAGGCCATATGCAACAGATGGAGTTCAACTGCCAGTGTTTATTTTTCCCATATACCCGGAAAAGATAGGTCATATGTGGTTAGAAGTTGTGCAAGACTTGTTGTCAGGAGACTAGGCATTATACATTTCAGAAAATGTTTACAAATTTCCAGAATTTTTTTATTTCTTTGGTATAATTTCTGACAAATTTACTGAAATTATTTGAGTTTGGAGGAATTAATAAATACCTAGACTCAAATGCATAATTTCAAATTAATTTTCCAGAAGTTCAGTTTCTACTGAACAAATGGATCATCGACTTCACAGGAGAAATGTAAGGAAAGATGAACTTAATCTCAAAGTTTTCTGCAGTCCATCCATTTTGAAACATATTTTCCTTCAAAGAGCACGTAGTTTGTCACTCTAACAGGAGTACTTATATTTCTATAGAAAATAAGAGTGTTTGCTCTAATTTCCTGGCTAGTAGCTGGAATTTATGGAAAGTCTGTTGAACTAAGCCTCTTTGTGTTGCTTTTCCTAAACTCATGGAAACAGCACACACAAACACACAGATATTTACATATTCTTTCACTGTTGCTTTAACTGCCTCCTGTGACTTTCAACTTACTTACCTCCTCTACAGCTTGGAAATATATCCCTAATACATGTGTTTCCAGGCATTTGTTTGAGAAGGATATTACTAGCTATGTATGCTTTAGTTACAAACATAACTAGACTAAAATGACAGTAACTAATAGCTCCTGGTTTAGTTGCCTTTCACCATCCCAAATAACCAGAAAGTTAGTCCCAAGAAGGATTGCACTGATGCTTGGGGAAAAGCCAGGTGGCATAAAGCCTGACTCCAAACCATCCGCTAACCCTGGACAGGACACGGATAAGCGGGATATGGATAGAAACAGAAGTCTGTGTGGTGGTCCAAAAGAGCATTTCTTGATAGAGAGTTGTGCACCAGACTGCTCCTAGCAGTCACTTCAGAAGAGCTTTTAAGTGGACCCATCCCAGAAAAAGCAATAGGGGAGTGGGAAGGTGCAGAGAGCTTCCTATGGTTCTTTATTCAGATGCACTGAATACCAAATCTTTGGCACAATTAGAGATTTGAAATGACATTTTGACTGATGAAGAATTGTTAAATATATCATTTGTCCCTGTATGCATAACAGACAGGCTTTAAGAAAATGTTCTCAGAGAGCATATAAGTATTTTTTTCTGTTGTGGTAAGATAATTTGTATATGAAATTTAATTTAGAGCTAATTCCAGACATAAATCTTTGAGAGTAAGGGTTTGTAATAGAAGGATGAAGACCATAAACATAGGCCAACACTAGCTGAAAAGGCTCACCTGGAAAGGAGCCTTCACGTGTCATCTAGTTAAAGTCCCTTGTTCTACGGCAACGATGATTATTTTTATTATGTTTTAACAATCTAACAAGCAAATATCAAGTTTTGGTATCATAACAAATAAAAAAAGAATCTGCAACCCTTTCCTATGTTTAAAACTTGCATTTTTCCAAGGGTTTGCAGTCATGTTATGAATTACTTCATCATTACTAGTGAGCAGTCAGAACTGGTCCCGCTTGCTTTGCAATTTCTCTTATAGCTGCAAAGTTTCTCCACAGCTTCAGCTGACCTCTACTTTTCTTCCCCCCCTCCCCCAAACTCCTATGCATTTCTCCTTAATGAAAGTTTGTGGCAGTAGGAAGGCAGGCAGAGTGACTGCTGCCATACCGACCTAGTTTGGACGTCTGGTTCTGCTTTCCCATCGGTCAATAAAATTTCTCAGCGTAAAACCTAAGATACAGGCAGGCCTTAATAAGGATTGAGATAAAACAATCTGGCGGGCTGCAGTCAAACTTTAGCAATCGCCACGGAGCTCGGCCAGCTGGAACATGCTCAGCCGTGGCAGCTGCGAGCTGATCCCCGTGGCACCGCGCAGTGGTACCTCTTGGGCTGTGCCGTGGGAGTGGGGGAGAGGGGGACATGCAGCCATTCTTCGTCTCATGTCCTGCAGTGCACCCCATTGCCCCAGTGTCTTCCTTCCTTCACATCCATCTGCTCCTGCAAGTTGCTCTGAGATCTTTCTGCACTACTGAGGAATTGTATTTTCTGCTTATGAGAGCTGCAGTAGTTTAACCTGCATACACCACGCAATGCAGACATGGTGCTGTCAGCAAAAAGGGGCTTTAAACTATCACAGTCAGCCTTGGACAAGCAGGAGGGTCAGCTGCATGGGCCGTTAACATTATCATGCTGATACAGGATCATCTGCTCTAGAGGCTGCACCACTAAAACGACTTCAGTAAAATATCACTTTGCAAGTGAGGTAATTGTACCAGACACTGTGTGCAAACCAGACCTCAGCCAGCTCTGTGAAGATCTGTCATTCCCACTCACTCAGATCTTCAAAGACATTAAGATGCCAAACTCCCACAGCTTTTAAGCGAATGGGGATGCCTTTGGTGGGAGTCAGGCACCCAAATGCTTGCGAGTTTCAGAGCCTTGCCCCCACCCAGGTTTTGGTTCTGGGCTTACACTCAGCCTTCTGAGTCATGGTTCCCTGGGCACCCATCAGTAGCCTGGTGATTGCACAGGGAACATAGGTGAGCAATGAGTGAGTCAGATTTTTTTTTTTTTTTGGTAGTCTCAGCAATCCCGGTGGTCTGGGAAGGATTTTCTAACATGAGCAAAGGGCTGGTAAAGAGAGGCAAGTGCCACCGGGAGCTCCCTGTCCATTCTTACCCTCTTCAGC